CTGCAGTGGGAGGGAAACAGTGCCATGTGCAAGAAAACCATGCCTTGTTACATCCTTACTTGTGAGGCCATTGGCATTTTGCCTGTACTTCAGGTGCTCCAGTAGCAAAACAAATTTTATTAACACTGTATTTGTCTCTTGATTTTCTTGTCAGTGATGAATCAGGGAACAGGTCAGCCAAAGTTCCTGTAGTAGGTGCATGTGGGTTTTAACGGAATATGAAACAAAGGAGTTAGAACTATCCCAGCGGGTCAGATGCAGCCTTGGGTTTTTAAGAGAAATTCTAAACTGAGCACTTCAAATGTTTGCATTTTCCATTAAGCAGATCCCACTAATATGGTGTAGCTAATATGGTATTGTTGAATTACTGTCGTGTTTCATGTCATTTTCCTGAACGGCACAAAACCATAATTTTCTAGGGAAAGTATTGTTTCCAAATATGAAGAGATATAAAAATGAGACCCTATCCCTCACTCATAAGAGACAGATGTTAGTTTTCACTTTAAGCTTAATGAATGCCAGATTATGCTGTTTCTTAACCTAACCCCAAGAATAACACACTTTTAGCTTTGGGGAATTTAAACTGGCTATCGCTTATTGGTTTGGTTTGGTTCTTTCAAGTAAACAAAATCCACTGAAAATTCAGAACTCTTCATGGCTGACATTGGTTTAGTGTGTCAGCTGCACACTGTCCTTGCTATGTAAAGACTAGCAAATTGCCCCTTGTTATGATTACTGGGGGAGTGGCAGAAAGAGAGCCCATTAATCAATCAGTCTGTCTCTCTTCCTTGTCTAGTTTTTTCCTCATTCAAGATCAAGCCCTCAGAGTAGGTTACAACAGAATAGTCAGACAATTATGGAGGAAAACACAAACATGACAGCAGTTTCGGTGTGCCCACACTGTGCCTTCACGTTGGCTGATTGGAAGGGGGAGCAATTCTGCTAAGTAAAGGGTCCCTGCTTTGTGCAGTGCTTCAAAGGCTCCCAACAACCCGCCATCTTGGTTAATCAGTTATGACATCAAGTATAGGGAGGATGGGTGTGGCTTGCTCAAAACAGCCTCGCAGGCCAAATGGGGAAGTCTGGTGACCCAAAATTAGCTCATGTGCTGGAGTTTCTGCACCCCTGGCATAGCCCATTAGGTTATGACATAGTCAACACACTCTTTGCATGGAGGAGGAGTGAGGGGGAAAGTCATTGCCTTTCTCATCTCCTGGCCCGGCCCTCCCACCCTTTCCATTAGGGGGAGGGGGGTAATTGGCTAGTGCTATCCATCTTTGCTACAAAAAGACCCCACCTAGAATGTGGCTATCCCACCTAACAAGAAAAGCTAGCTATAAGGTTGCATTACATTGGAACTTTCTCATCAAGAAGGCATCTAAGAGGGCTTCCTCTTGGGCACTGCTTGAGCAATAAATTGTTCCTGAGCTCTGCTGCGTCCCTTCATCCTTGATTATTAGAGGTGTGCCTAGGGGTTGGCAAATTAGGCAAAATTTACCCTATAAAACTGTCTCCAATTATCTGGGTAAGGTTGTGAGTTTAGATGAGAGCTGGGAGCTGAGCGGTAGGAGAAAAGGCAAGGCAGCATGAAGGTAGACCACTGGGGACTATGGAGTGTATGGAGTATATGTGTGTGGTGACACAATGCCATTGTCATGGCGAGATCAAACACGGGAGAAGTGGTTTGGGGGCGCCAATACAGCTCTTTGCCATGGGTGCAAGTCCTGAGTTCCGGATTGTGCTGTGATCTTGGTTTGCCCTTCAGTCCTCCCCTGGTCTTCAGTCCTGACTACAGGCTGGTCCCATGACTGCCAGTTCCTGGCTCATTCCAGACTTGTGCCTATCATGCAACCCAGACACTGCTTGACAGAGCAAACTAGATGTTGCATACGTGGACCTTTGAGCCCCATCAAAAGCTATTCCCACCAAACAAGGGGTGGAGGATAGCAAGAGTCTGCTGCTATTGTTGCAATGTGTTCCCCTTGTCTGACTCCTTTGCACCTGACTTTGTTGATACGATGCATGACTAAATCTTATCTGAGGGAGTGGTAATAAGAGACAGCAGTAGATACCGCTGTGTGGCTGTAGTGGCCATTGCCCTTTACGAACTGCTATTTTTTAAAAAAATGAATACTCCCACATCAAAAGTCCTGCCCTTACGTTTGTGTTTATTTTCACTGAGTTCGGGAACCATTTGCCAATAAATATCAGCTGAAACGAATTAGCCTCAGCACAAAAGATCCACACTTAAGCTGGGATGCTGACAAAAATGCAACCCAAAAATGAATAAAATATTTTTTTGGAAGAAGCCAATGACTACATTGACAACGTGACTCCTCACCATAATAGAAAAAACTGCTATTAGCAGTTCATTCTACTTTTCCTACAAACAATTTTCACCACACAGCGAAATCCACAGCTCTTTTAAAACAGCTTCATTTAAGCCGGCTAAAAACAGTTCTTCGTGCAAGCATTTGGTACTTTAGTGGACAAGCTCAGCTGTGAGGTGTGAAACACAGATGTGGTTTTATGTGGAGGGACTTTTATTGTTTTATTCTAACATTCTGGTTATTTTACAGAATGCTCTTACCCTTCCTGAGATCTTTAGATTAAGGGCAGGATATACGGTAAATTGCTGACTTTAATGGAGGTTTTTTCCCCTGATAATGCCATTATTTATTCATTTATTTATTTGCACTGCAAAAATGACAAATACACTGGACTGTAACTTACAGCACAGTGGGGAAGCAGAATGCAGATCTTATAGGGAAGAAGAAACCTTAAAACCCCCAATTTCTTATCGTTTGTGCACTTCAGTTTCCAAAATTAGGAAAGACACATTTTCAAATTTCCTCAAGAAAATCCTCTGTGTGGGCTGAAATACAATGTGCCATGAATTTTATCTCTGTGTTATGCAACTTGGTAGAACATGGAACAGTTTATGGGGAAATGAGGCTTCTCTTTCCGACTTCATGAAACAGAAGCTCAGGACAAGAGCAAAAGTCATGACAACAGATTTCAGATTTCTGACTCGTGTAACTGACAGAGCTGATGTTGTTTGTAGCAGATAGCTTATTACAGGGAGGTTGGAATCCCTGCTCCTTATATGATATTTTGGATCAGGGCCATCAACAGTGATACCCTCATATGTCACATAAACTGTGATACTTTGATCTGCTAAACCATTGCAATTTATTAGTTATATATTGTGTGTCTGTGTGCGTTGGTGTTTTAAATATAATATTTAACTAATACATTTCAATTCCAATGAAAAGCGAATCAGTTTACTGGAAGCCTTTTTAAGGGGAGGGAGAAACTTGCTCAAATGAAAGATATTGCTTTGTATCTCATTTCAAAGGAAAATAATGATTTGCCTATTAAGTTTGAACAATGTTTTCCAGAACGATTTGACTTTTTAAGACGATGCCAGCATGCGGAGGGCAGCACAAAGCCATTCATATTGCAGGAGTCTGGGAAGCTGGGCTTTGAAATGCAACATATTTTTTTTTTGACATAATTAATCTCGGATGACTGATTCCAGATGTTTCTGGAAGATTTTATAGAAAGGACTTCTTGCGTAATGATACTTCTGAAACAAGGTGAAGGAGGTAATAAAAAGTACAGCAGCATCTCTAGGATCTGACCAGTGGTTTAAAATTGACTTGATGTTAGGAGACACTGAAAGAGCCCACCAGCTGGGGAGAAAGCTGATAAGCTAGGCTGAAACCACCCTCACTAGGGTTCAGTGGACTTGGTTCTAGGGTGGTGATTTTTAAGAGGAATTCCAGGAAACTGTGGGATTCCTTGGAGACTTCAGAAAGGATGAGTCCACCTAGTGTTTTTAGAAAGTGTGATGGGGGTTTTCTGAATCCCTTCAGGGGAAGTAGCATCCCAAGCACTGGGAATGATGCTCAGATTGGATGTGAGACATACAATGTCATTGCCCACTAACCTTTCAATTCAATTTTTTTGTATCTTTATTTTTATGTGGAAATTGTTCAGTTTGGTTATGTAGTTTTTGATGTGTTTTATTTAGTTTTATGACTACTTTGCTATGTTTGTAACTATGTAAAGCTTTTCATATCGTAAGCCACCTTGAGCATTGTTTTAACTGTGGAAAGGTGGCATACAAATAAAATGATGATGAAGAAGAAGAAGAAGAAGAAGAAGAAGAAGAAGAAGAAGAAGAAGAAGATATGCATAATCATATCCGCCTGCTGCTTGGGCTGCTGATTGCCTGCAAGGCATAAATGGATTTGCTGAAGTCTTTTAACAGTGCATACACCATAAATCCATCCATCCATCCATCTATCTGTCTGTCTGTCTGTCTATCTATTTACTTACTTACTTACTTACTTATTTACTTACTTACTTCTTACTTACTTACTTACTTACTTACTTACTTATTTAGAAGATATATACATTCTGATATCCAGACCCAAACGAACAACTGCTCGATAGATCAGGCAGTACATCTGAAAACAACAGTTTCGACAATTTTTCTAGAATCTGGAGGCAAAGACAGAAGGAGCGAAACAGGATTTCCAGAAGAGCAGGTTTCAGGGCCAGGTACCGGTTATAGGATGTGGAGCAGAACACCCCCCCTCCCCCAGTGTCTTAATGGTTGGGCAGAATTTTCAGACTTTGATGATTCTTCCATGAGTCCTTGCACAAGACTTGGTGCCTGGAAGTTTTGAGTCAAGACACAGGTATTCTCTTCAGCAGAGCTTAAAGTCCAGGAAGGAAGTTAAGGGAGGAAGTGGTTTATCAGGTTCATAGCAAGCCAAGTATCCTATCCTAGGCAATAAACAGAGAATGCAAGACCTCATCCTGAGCAGATCGGCCGCAACAATGTCTGTGGGCTTCAACATGTGATAAATTACCTGGAGTCACTCAACAATTCAGGAGCAAATAAAAAGGAAGGCTTCTATTTTATTACAGTGGTAAGAAACACAAAGCATATCAGGTAAATATTCTCATCAAGTCAACATGTTTGTTTGCCGTGCTGCTTCTTTACATTCTGGCTGAAAGAAAATGAGAAAGACGAATTGGAGGCAGTTCAAAGAAGAGCAGCAAAAATGATAAATGACCTGGAATACAAGGTTAAATGAGAATTTAAAAGGGCCATGGGTACGTAATATAGAGAAGACTGATGGGGGTATGATAGCTGTTGCAACAGTGTAGATCAAAGAGTCTGCTGATATAGGGTGGGATGAATTATCTGTTGGTTAGTCATTGAGGATAAAAGTGGTAGGAATGGGAAATGTTTCAGAGAACGTGCAAATAAATATAAATGGCTTGTGAAATCTGAAAGGTTTATATGACTTAAGAAAGCAGCCAAAGGACTTTGTGGAATCGTGTCACAGAAGTTATATTGAATTCAAGACCAGACATCCCGGTTTGTAGGCATATTAGTAACTGAAAATATAGGAAAAGATGAAACGTTCTTCAAATCTTTTTGTTTTAGGGCTGTCATCCAATTAAAGAAAGCTTAGTCAATAACTCAGGTGTGTTTTCATTGATGCACAGTGCAATCCTACAGCTGTCTACTCAGAAGAAGGGTAGATATGGATTACTCGCAGGCAAGCATGTATAGGACTGCAGTCTAAGTGGTTAATGGATTAAGGGTATGGTCCTAAACTTGAGATGCACCATCTGATGAACTATAGGATACGGCAACACCAGATATACCTCTACCACTAACACAATATGCCAGTGGAACGCTCTGTTGGTACATTTGCTGCACCGGTGAAAATGCACTGGCAGAACAGATAAATGGGCCAGAGCTATGAGCAAGGTGAACACACTGCAGAGGAAATTGGGGTAGCAAACTTGCACCACATCCTATGCCCCTCCAAACCATGACCATACCCCCAACTTTACACTGACCTTGGAACTGGTGCAAGGAATTTCCTTCCCACTGAGCTCAATGGAAAAGTGAAAAATAATACTAAAAAGGGGGAAATAAGGCTGTGATGGCTGCTCCCACTTGTTCCCACCCTGGTTTTGCTTTGTTTTGTTCCCAGCCTGGTGATGTCATACTCCCTTTTCTCCCAACTTCGTGGCATGCTAGGAAACCTACTTGCATAAACAGGTAAGAGAGACTATGTGGATGAAGAGCAGGACTATGCAGGGATTGGATACATTTGCCTTCTCTTCCACTGCATCAGGAGATTCTGGAGTTTTCGCCCTGCTGCGACCCATGCATGCTGTTTTGCTAGATGAAAACCAGACATAAGACCCAAAGAGCATGAGGTTAAATGAATGATTGCATTTTAACATGTCTTGTTTTTTCCCCTTTAATGATATTGGCCATGGGTAGGGTTAGGAAGGCTGATCGCCGAAGAATAGATGCTTTTGAATTATGGTGCTGGAGGAGACTCTTGAGAGTCCCATGGACTGCAAGAAGATCAAACCAATCCATTCTTAAGGAAATCAGCCCTGAGTGCTCACTGGAAGGACAGATCATGAAGCTGAGGCTCCAATACTTTGGCCACCTCATGAGAAGAGAAGACTCCCTGGAAAAGACCCTGATGTTGGGGAAGATTGAGGGCACGAGGAGAAGGGGACGACAGAGGACGAGATGGTTGGATAGTGTTCTTGAAGCTACCAGCATGAGTTTGACCAAACTGTGGGAGGCAGTGGAAGACAGGAGTGCCTGGCGTGCTCTGGTCCATGGGGTCACGAAGAGTCGGACACGACTAAACGACTAAACAACAAGGGTTAGTTCTCCTCTTCCTGATGTGTGGGAACCCTCATCCCAGAAGCTGCTATTTGTCACATGAGGAAATAGCTTGTTTTCTGGTTCTAATAGCAGCTTTCTAGAGTGGGGGGACATTTTCAATGGGACCACTCTGGGGTGAGGGGAAGAGCAGGATTAAGTTTGAAGCTAGGGCCCTCAGAAAGATCAATCTGAAAACATCTATGCTTTTTGAAGAGGAAATATTATGTCATTTTCATAACCTGAACGTTAAGCCTCCATGTATGCTGCCTAGGTTTCTTTGGAGAGCGGCTGGGATATATTTGATCAAGGAAACTGTTCAAAGCAAACTCATGCCCAAGAAATACCTTATATTCTGAACACATATAATCACTGGCAACTGTAACTATGCTACACTTCAGTCGGCTGAAAATGTGTTCAGATAGTGATCACCAAGAAGCAATGGAATATAAAACTATTGAATTTTCAGAATGGTTGGTGCATTCCATTTGAATCTCATGAAAATTGTAATATCTACCCAAAAGTTAAGGAAACCAAATAGTGCAAATACTTACGAGAGTTTCCTTGTGTAATATTTACATTTAAAAAACAGAAGGAATAATTGCATGGAACAAAGAAGATTCCCCCCCCCCGCCCTGCTAGAATTTAAAATGGCATGAGAAAGCAGCCAGCTTTTGCGGTTAACAAGCCAGTCACCAGTTTTAACAGCTAGAATTTATAGCACTTCTTAATAAATACAATATTAATCCCCAGAGCATCCACAAAATGATGGGGGAATGCTGCCAGAAATAAACTCCCTCATTTTTATTGTCTCAGAGTTGGAGCAGAGACAAAGAAGTGTTTAGAATGGACATCAACACAATCATATTATTCATAAATTTCCCCCTTTTGGCAAATGAGCAGACGTACTACTGGAATGTAACTGTAGTAGCATTTCACTGTATTCCCCCTTCCACCAATTCAGCTGATGGTGTCAGTCCCGTAGTGTCCAAGAAATCAGCTGATGTCTTCCATTCCACTGTGCTGAGGCCTTATTCCTGCAGCTACTTTTTACACGCAGAAGCCAAATGCACTGAAATGTGTTCTCTGCCAAGTCTAGCTAAATTCTGCGAGCTGAATAAATTATGACAAGGGTAGCCAATAGGGTGCCTTCCCGATGTTGCTGCACTACAACTCCCATCACTTCTGTCCATTGACTATGCTTTCTGGGCCTGTCTGGAGGCTGCCACTTTGACTGCAAAATCAAGGAACTATGCTTCTTTATTTTGTATCATTTTTTTTTTCTGTTCCTGCTTGAGAACTGTGTCCCCAAAGGGCTGATTTTGGGGAGTGCAACCAGTTCAGTTGCACTGGGCGCCAATTCTTGGGGCACCCCAACTACATTTTAGAATGGAGCGCAAGAGGAGGAGGGGCACCAAATTTTGGTGCTGCACAGGGTGCTGCTGAAATTTGGGACCTCGAGACTTGCCACTGTGTGTCCCTCCAGTAGCCAGGACTGATGGTCCCTGCCTTCTACTTTCTCTAGGTCTCCTTCTCTGCCTGATGTTTCCCAAGCAGCCTTAAACTGCATTGGGGCACCTGTAATCTCTGTTCCCCCTTACGCATTGTCTTGTGTGTCCTTGGAGTCAAGGGAGGAAGGAAGCTTCTCACAGTAGGAGAGGCAGATTCCTAGGATTCTCCTGTAGCCTCTTGCCTCCTCCCCTTCTTCAGCTGCTAAGTCTGAGCTGCTCCCTGTCACAAGCTCTCCTTGCTCATTAAAGCCTGTTGCTTCATCAGCATCCATCCATCCATCCATTCCCTCCCACCCCCACTGCTGCCCCGCTGCTACAAACTCAAGAGAAGGGAATGTATTTGTTTTTCTCCTAAAGTTAGATTATATCTCCCATCACCTGTTCCTTGACCAATGGTCATGCTGGCTGGGACTTTTGCAGGTTGTTATCCAACACTTCTGGAAGCCACAAGTTCCCCTTCCCTGGTTTAGCTGTTAATCCACAGTTGGCCGTTCAAAGATGGAGGTTCCATTTACTGTTGACACTGCATGAATCTGTTAAAGAAAAGTTATTATTTATTGGAGTGGCTTTGCTATGACTTGGAAATCTACAAAACATTCTAAGAAGCAGAGAGACACGCCACACAACTTATCTCAGGACTCAACGGAAAACTCATTCTAGTAATCTGATTTGTCAAATGATCAGCATTTCCTCAGAGGTTTCCTCCCAAAATCTAATGATTGATCTTTCCCATATGACAAACCAAAATTGGGACTTTAACTCAAAACTTCCTCAGCTGTAATCCTCCAAACTGCTGTGCTGGTGCAAATATTTATGTCGGCGCATTTGTGCAGGACAGAATTTGGAGGGAAATCAATTGCCTTGTTTGTAGTGACGATAATCCTTCTTCCAGGAAGCCAGCCCTTAAACACGGAGCAAAATCCAATCATAATTCTGTATATTTTCAGTGTCCAGGCTGTGAGTGGCGTTGCCTATGTAGCCAGAATGACACCAACCATGCTCAAGAGAGCGAGATCAACAGACACAAGAGAGGTATGGGTGAGCAGCTGCTTTGTCTGCAAAAATCCTGGGTTCAATTCACAGCATCTCCAGATAGGGCTAGGAATGTCCGCTGTCTAAAATCATGGAGAGCGGCTGCCAGTCAGTGTAGACAATATTAAGCTAAATGTACCAGTGGCCTGACTCAGCATAAGGCAGTTCCCTATGTTCCTATAGAGAGCCAGTGTGGTGTAGTGGTTAAGAGCAGTGGACTCGTAATCTGGTGAACCAGGTTCGCTTCCCCGCTCCTCCACATGCAGCTGTTGGGTGACCTTGGGCTAGTCACACTTCTCAGAAGTCTCTCAGCCTCACTCACCTCACAGAGTGTTTGTTGTGGGGGAGGAAGGGAAAGGAGCTTGTTAGCCACTTTGAGACTCCTTAGAGTAGTGATAAAGCGGGATATCAAATCCAAACTCCTCCTCCTATGTTTAGGGGAACCCCAGTATTTGCAGAAGTACAACAAATCTTTAGGAAAATAAACCTGGGAGGACACTCAAAAACAGCATGCCAGTGGCTATGGGATATTGACTGGCTGTTGGAGGGGGGAGAGAATGGAATGAAGAATTCTGGGATAGGACAGGGTTTCAGCCAGGCATTTGTTTTTTAAAAATTATATCTTCCTCCAAAGCATGGCTCCCTATGATTTGCCATTTTTTAAGATCAATGGGAGGAGAAGAAAAGTTGCATGCATTACAAATTGTTGTCCACTCCAAGGGTGAAAAAACCCATCTCTTCAGTGTGGCCTCTTCTTGATTAAACTTACCAAAATCAATATTATGTTGTTGTTTAGTCGTTTAGTCGTGTCCGACTCTTCTTGACCCCATGGACCAGAGCACGCCAGGCACTCCTGTCTTCCACTGCCTCCCGCAGTTTGGTCAAACTCATGCTGGTAGCTTCTAGAACCCTATCCAACCATCTCATCCTCTGTCGTCCCCTTCTCCTTGTGCCCTCCATCTTTCCCAAAATCAGGGTCTTTTCCATGGAGTCTTCTCTTCTCATGAGGTGGCCAAAGTATTGGAGCCTCAGCTTCACGATCTGTCCTTCCAGTGAGCACTCAGGGCTGATTTCCTTCAGAATGGATAGGTTTGATCTTCTTGCAGTCCATGGGACTCTCAAGAGTCTCCTCCAGCACCAAAATCAATATTACACAAAGTCTAATTTAAACTTGATAACATTCAACATTATTATTTCACTTTCTTGAATGTTTTCTTGCAGTCTAATTCCAGGAGAAAAATGCCTGGTTGACAATATCAGCAGCTCATCTTACCATTGAAATAATGATGATAATGATAGCACTTACATTTGACAAGTCAAGTCACTTCTGATGGGAACTGCTTGTGCTCCCTCTTGAAATAGTAAAAGCCCTTGCTGCTAAATGAATTACAATATAATAGGGTACAAATTGCAGGCACGGTGCATTTGAGATGACCTAGGCTTGTGGCAAGAGAGCTGTGAAATTGATTCTAGAGCGGCCTTTCCCAACCTGATGTGCTCCAGCTGTTTTGGGACTACAGCTCCCATCATCCCTGACAATTGCCATGCTGACTAGGGCTGATAGTTCAAAACATCTGGAGGGCTCAAGGTTGTGGATGGGTGGTCTAGAGCAGGGGTAGCCAAGTGGTAAACTCCAAATGCTGTTGAATTCCAGTGCCCATCAGGTGAAGTAAGCATTATTATTATTATTATTATTATTATTATTATTATTATTTTCTTATATTTATATCCTAGCTTTTTTCGTCATGGAGCCCAAGACAATGCACATGTGGTTCCCTGGTGGCACTGCTGACCAGACCCAGAACTGGTGTCAGAGTTTAGCACTGCCCAGACCTTGAACAGAAGGTCTCCTCAGATGATGAGCAAGGGGAGTTTGAGTCTCCTGCAGATCTTCACACTGTCCATGAATGATCCTGAGGAGATAGCAGACCTGGTCATTCCTGCCCCAGGACTGGAGGTACCTAACTGGCTCACAGACTCTCCCTTCAGCTTCTCCAGGACTATGGGAGCAGGGGACAATCAAGCCAGCCAGGAACTTCAGAGTCATCACAACAAAATGTCTGGCTAGCTGCTCATGAGGCTACTCGGAGGAAGAGGTGAATACATGAAAATATCTGTGTGGATCAGGACCTGACTGAAAGCTCGGGCAGACATCTTCTCAAACATATAAGCTTTTCATGTGGGCCATGTGAGAGGTTTCAAATCACCAGCCACACAGGCACACACAGTCAAGTTTTGAGGCGGAAATATCATATTGGTTGGAGAAGGGGCATGGCTCAGTGGCAGAGCCCATGCTTTGGATGCTAAGAATCCCAGGTTCAATCCCCATCAACTCCAGATAGCACAGACAATATTGAGCTAGATGACCAATGGCCTGCCTTAGTACAAGACAGCTTCCTATGTTCCACATGAGAAAACTGTATATTACATTAGAAAACAGCACATTTGAACCAGCTACATCAGCTGACTCTATCAGGATGACACAAACATCTTCAGGTCACTGCGTCTGCACTGCAGCCCAAATTAAATTCCTGTCTTGATGTTTGACCTTCTACATGGAAAGGAAACTCTTTATTGACTAATCTTGCAGTGACTTTGAAGAAACTGCCTTATCCTTGGTTTTCTATCCTGGCCTTTGCCCAACCGCCAGTTTCCTGTTAATTCTGTTATTTCATCTTGCAGGCTCTGCAAATTCTATTTTTTTCTTCTACAAATTCAATTGCACAGTCATCTCCATTGATATCTGCAGTCTAGAGCTGTGTTTTTAGGATATGATGTGGGGGCCTAACAGCAGTGGTGGAGGCATGAGATATAGCTGTGTTAGCCCATCCCTGGAAAAATGACAGGCTAACAAATGTACAGTGACATAGCTATTACTCTTGGGCCTACTTAAGATATGTATTTACTTTTAGGCTAGAAAAAAAAGTGCACACCTACAATAGGGGTAGTCAACATGGTGCCCTCTTGATGTTTCTAGATTCCAACCTTTGTCCATTATACTGGTCAGTGATGGTGAGAGTTGCAGTCCATCAGCATCTGAAGGGTCAGTGGGTCCCCATTCCTCATTTACAGTGCAGTGTAGCCTTCAGAAGTTTTGGACCACAACCCCCATCATGCCTAGCACTAGGTTGGTAGTTAAGGCTTAAAGTAGTTTGAACCCTGGAAACTCTGGGAACTGATATTTCGGTTGGGGAGCTGAAGATAAAGGGAATACTTAAAAGTAAAGGGACCCCTGACCATTAGGTCCAGTCATGGCCGACTCTGGGGTTGTGGCGCTCATCTCACTTTATTGGCCGAGGGAGCCAGCGTACAGCTTCCAGGTCATGTGGCCAGCATGACTAAGCCACTTCTGACAAACCAGAGCAGCGCACGGAAACACCGTTTACCTTCCCACCAGAGCGGTACCTATTTATCTACTTGCACTTTGACATGCTTTCGAACTGCTAGGTTGGCAGGAGCAGAGACCGAGCAATGGGAGCTCACCCCGTTGCAGGGATTCGAACTGCCGACCTTCTGATCGGCAAGTCCTAGGCTCTGTGGTCGGCAAGTCCTAGGCTACAAGAGAGCATCTGACATAATTGGGATGAATAATCAAAAGGAGAGGTAATAATTCCTTTTCGTAAGGTACAAATCTATAGAGATTCCAATAGCTCTTGCAATAATATTACACAATTGCAAGCATTGTATTTATCAATCAATTTTAAGTTAAAGCACAAAGAATAAATAGTATTAATAAAAGCTTGTCCGCTCAGAAGACAACAATGATCCCCAGATATTTTTTCAATGTAGTTAAAATAGGTCACATATTTCCTATAATTAAGGGGGGGAAACTAGATGGTGAGTTACGGATTAAAAATTGCAAGGCCACCACAGGCATTCTGAAAGGTCATTAATGACATATTGGTAAGGAACTTGAGTCACAGATATCCACAGCCTTTACATGTGGACCCATAACACCAGTAAGGAGTTATTGTGCAAACCCTACCCCAGCAGCTGTGTAATAAGAAACAGAGTAGACCATGGAGAGGGGTAGGGATTATGGAATGGAGGGATAATTACTCACTGAGTCATTTGTTTATCAGCATGCAGGCAGAAGATGACTTATGCAAGGCCCTAAAAGATCCAGCAATGAGGTTGTGGTGACTACTGACAAGTATGGTCATTGTTTGGTTTCTCCAGTAAGCAGCTTCCTTCAGGGTTAGTTGCGTACAACAACACTAAGCCAGAAGCAGGAGAAAGAGATATCTGACGATACGATACGATACAATATCTTTATTGTCATTGTCCCTTACAGAACAATGAAATTGAAAAACTACATAAAACTACATAACACTACCACAAAACTACATAAAACATTCAAAAACCCCTAAAAACCTCTAAAACCCCATTTTAAAATACACTATACTACAGAGACCCCTTATGCTGCGTTTAGAACCAGAATTGCATTAGC